TTGTACTTGAACTTGTCTTGCTGCTGAACCTCCAGGTATGAGGGAGTCTCTGTTTACTGGCTGTTTCAAAGTGTATGAAATGGGCTTTAAAGTCAAGAGAGGATTCCATTCGCACTCACTCATCTTCACTTGCAGAGCTCCGCAGCTCTCGGCAGCCCCTCCCACGCCATTGTTGGCTATGCAGCAGTAAATGCCATCGTCGCTGTCCTCCACGCTCAGGATGCTGAGGAGCTGCCCATTCTCCCGAATGCTGTATCGGGTGTCAAAGAGCCTGCAGGTCACAGAGGAAGATGGAACATTAGCGTGTCATCGGTGATTTTTTTCAGCTGTGATTAATCAAATGGATGACGTGTCAGTGAGGAAGGAGAGTGAAGATGGGAATGAGCTCTGAATAACAGAAGAATTTTGCTTGGTAATGTAAGGCACATGTTATAATCCAACTTTTCCTAGGCTCCGGTAACCAAAGGCCCACTGAGTCCTTCCAAAAATGCTTTCAAAGGGTGGTGTCTGTTGATAAAGCCAAATGTAAAGTTTACTTCATTCAGAAAAGTATATTAAAGCCAAGATACACTTGGTTATGATACTTCTCCCCATAATTACTGAGAAGTAGCAGCTAATAAATGAACAAGGACTCACACTGTATGACAACCAGAAAGAGTTACAGACATAACTACTACTTGAATACTCATCCTTTCATTAAACAAATGCTTACTGAGTGCTCATAAGTGCCAGGCACAATCCTACTTATAGGACACATCAGGAAGCAAACAGCTTCAATTGCAAAAATATATGCTTTGAATACATCAGCTATTAAATTATATACAAACTATTTGTTGAGAAGGGAATTAGAGCAATGAAAGAAATTCAAAGGGAAGCATCAATATAAAAGTTAAGTTTTTCTAAACCAAATAAGGGTTTTTTTTTTTTTTTTTTAATGTCAAATGTGTTTGGTAAGTAGAATAACAGCCCACCAAAGATTCTTGTCTTAGTCACGAGTCCTGTGAAAATGTTACCCTACATGGCAAAAGGGATTTTGCAGATGTTAAGAATCTTAAAATGGAGCATTCTGGATTGTCCAAATGGGCTGGATGCAATAATATCACCCTCATGGATATAGGAGGGGGAAGCAGAAGACTCAAAAGATGAGACTGAGGTCTCATAATGGAGGCTGAGGTCCAAGAGATGTAGTTGCTCACTCTTCATGCGTAGGAAGTGGCCAAGGAATGGAGGTGGCCTCTAGAAGCTGGAAAAGGCAAGAAATGAGATTCCTCCCTAGAGCCTTCAGAAGGAACTCAGCCCGGGCAACACTTCACGTTGAGTGTAGCCCAGTGAGATTTAGTTCATACTTGTGACCTCCAGAACTATAAAGATAATAAATTAATGTCCATTGTTACAAGCTGCTAAGTTTGTGATAATTTGTTATAGCCACACTGGGAAATAAAGACCCATTTTGTTTCCTGAAAGTATGGTGCTACTGCATCAAATACCTAAAAAATGTGGGTGTGCTTTGCAATTGGGGAATGGGCAGAGCAGAGACAAATTTTGAGGAGCGTACTAGAAAAATTTAGAGATTATCAATAGAAATATGCATGTTAAAGGTTCTGCTACTGAGGACTTGGAAGGAAGTGAGGCGCACGGCAGAGAGCAGCTTGGGCGTCTTAGGGAAAACCTGAACTACCACAAGGAGAAGTTGGTAGAAATACGGATGCTAAAAACCACTACTGGTGAGGGCTCAGATGGAAATGAGCTACATGTTTCTGGAATAGGAAGGAAAGGGGACCTCTCTATCGGAGTAGAGCACTTTGCTGCATGGTATCCCGCAATTATATGGAAAACAGAACTTGCAAATGATAAACTTGGATATTTAGCTGGGAAATTTCCAAGCAACGTGTTGAAGCCATGACCTGGTTTTGCTGTTGTCACTATTGCTGCTGCTGCTTATTATATAATTCAAGAAGAAAAAGATAATTTGAGGGGAAAATTGTGAAGCAGAAATGGATCCAGAACTTGATAATTTGGGAAATTCTCAGTCCATCTGGATTGTGAGAGATGCTCAAAACTATTTCAAATTGCTCAGTTGGGTCCATGGGTCTTCCCGTTCCAGATGTTCTGGGACCGCTGGCCTGCCAGAGTAGTTGAGGGCTACCAGGGCTCAGGGTCATTCCCCACATGACACCATGCACAATAGAGGGGAACACTACCTTTCAGTTCAAGGTCAATGAAACTAACGATGTCGTCCAAGTTCACAGATTCCAGTCTATGGATACTAGTGTAAGCACTTGCTGTAGACCGAAGGTTTATGACCCCTAGAATTCATAGGTTGAAACCTGATGTGTAATGTGACTGTGTTAGGAGTTAGGGCCTTTGAGTGGCAATGAGAACCTGAGGGTAGAGCTCTCATGAGTAGGATTAGTGCCCTTCTCAAAGAGCCCAGGAGAGCTCTCTCATCTCTTCCCCCATTGATGCCATCTACAGATCAGGAAGCAGGCCCCCGCTAGACACTGAATCTGCTGCCACCTCCAACATGGACTTAACAGCCTCCATAACTGTGAGAAGTAAATTTCTGTTGCTTATAAGGCATCCGTCCATGCTATTATTGTTGTAGCCACACAGATGGCTTAAGATACATTTAGGTCCAATGCAACCTACATTGCCTACTGGAAAACCCACGATTTCACTTTGTTACAGATTTTAGAGTATTTTTGATCAATTAACTATTATAATGAGGAAGAGGATAACATAATCTTTATTACCATATAAGAATTTCACTGGTTTCAAAGGCTACCTTACTTTATGTCAGGAATCCCTTCTAACTTTCTAAAAATAAAGGTGATGGTGACCTAGAAGTGAGATTCCTCGACAATGTACTTCACTCTGCTGAGATATTAGAAGCACAGGAGATGAGGCTGGTCCCTATTAACTGCCAGCATCTCTGGGCACCTGTGCCCCCAGACTTAGGCTATCATGGTGTTTCCTAATTGCAGTGAAGTTTCTTCTGGTTCTAACCAGGGGGCTTATCTGACTTGCCCATGTCAATAAGCCACAAAATATCCCCAACTACCCTACATCAGTAAAATCACTATTTTGCTTTAAGAAATTTTCTTAAGTTCACTGAACTTTATATCTTCCATCTATAAAATGAGGAAAATTGTATTTTATAAATTCCAGAAGGTAAATATAGCCAGGAGCTGGGGTTGCCGTTATATCAGAGGTAAACTGCAAGGCAGCAAGGGACGTTCTTACTACAAAAAGGCAGAATACTCACTTGATAAGAATTTTATTTCTCGTCCAGGAAATCTCAGGCTGGGGATAGGATTCCACTGCACACATAAAAGTAGCCACCTCTTCAACTAAGGCATCCACTGTTTCAAGAGGAGTGGTGATGACAGGAGCTAAAAGGAAAGGAGAAATCAAAGGAAGAACATTCTAGAATGCTGTTTACTAACCCTTCCCAAAGCAGTCATCACCTACCTGAATGAGAACTATTATCTCAGAGGAGAAATGTGCCAAAGAAAGGAAGATTTCATGTGGATGTTTTGATTTCCAAAAAAGACATTTGACAATCAAAAGAGAAGGCTCTCGAGAGAGTAAGGCATAGAATTTACTATATACAAGTAGAGGCAGATCCAAGTGTTATGGTTGTATTGTACAATTTAAGTGTCCTTTAAATACATGTATATATATACACACACACACACACATATATATAGTTTTGAATATAAAATGTTTGTGACTACTCCAATGCCATCAGACTCAAGGGAAGTGAACCTGAAGGGAAGTCAGAATAGAACAACTTAACAACTGTTGTTTAAAAACAAATTTTTCCCAAATTTTATAAAGTACATGTTCATCTGAACACACTGCTAGAGCCTACTGAGAGCTTAGACGGGTTCTTATACGTGAGAGCCTCTGCGGCTTCAGCTACATCTACTTTACAGAGAATTTATGTGTGTTTCTATTCTATTAATAGAAAGAGACTTGATAATAAAAAGACAAATAACACAAAACCTGGGCAGAGGAGCTGAAGAAACATTTCTTCAAAGAAAGTCTATCACTGGCCAATGAAAAGACGCTCAGCATCACTGGCCGTGAAGGAAGTGCAAATCCAAACCACAAGCTACCCCTTCGCACCCACGGGGACGGCTAGAATCAAAAAGAATGACAATAAATGTTCATGAGGACGTAGAAAGATCAGAAACTTTGTTTATTGCTGGGGGGGGGTGTAAAATGGCGCGAACTTTGTGGAAAAGAGTATGCTGGTTCTTCAAAAACTTAAACAGAATGATGCTATGATCTGCTAATTCCATTTCCAGGTATACATTCCAGAGAATTGAAAGCAGGGACTCAAACAGGTGATTTGTACACTCGTGTTCATAGCAGCTTTGCTCACAACAACCAAAAGATAAGAGCAACCTAAGTACTCACAAAAAAAAAAAAAAAGAATGTATAAATGAAATGTGGTTTGTCCATACAATGAAATACTAGTTGACACTAAAAAGAAATGAAGTATGATTATAGCGACAATATGGGTGACCTGGGAAACTGTAAGCTAAGTGACAGGTGCCAGTCACAAAGGACTCTGTATTATATAACTCCCTTTACATGAAGTGCCTAGAATTGGAAAATTTATACAGACAGAAAATACACTCATGGTTGCCTAGAGGAGGGTGATATAAAGGAGAATTCTCCAAGATATAGAAGCGAATCCATCAAGAAGGTATCAAGTTCAAAGAGACTAGTTGAAATATGAAAGCAAAATTTTTAGGGACAATGACATCTCATGCATAGACCTCAGGGCTCCCGTTTTTGTAACCTTCCAATAGAACAACCATTAGATAGACAGGAAACAGCACAAAGCAATAGAGAGGAACACTATTAGAGAACAGTTAGAAGACTCAAGGCACAGAATGACAGACAGGCACGACCAGAAAGCTAAAAGGGAACAGCCTAGAGGCAGTGTACGAAGGGATCAAATGCTGATTGTTTTCAAAACTGAAAAATAAAATAACCCAGCTGTGACTATTAAAGTACCCATCAAATGCCAAGACAGACACATAAAAAGAATTCATCCCTAGATACATTGGGCTTAAATCTATAAATATTAAAGACAGAAGAAAATTGTAAACTCTACTGAAAGAAAGCAAGCCAATTACCTTAATAGAAACACAAGCTAGGCTCAGCTGAGATTATTTAGCAACAATCATCGAGACCAAAGGCAGAGGACTAATACCTTTACAGGACTGTGAAAAAATAAGCCTTAGCCTAGAATTGTATAGGAAGCTCAGATAATAACTGTGTAGGAAGCTTAGATAATAATTCTGAAGAAGTCAAAATTAAGACACTTACAAACAGACAAATATTTAAAGTGCTTACCACTTACAGGCTTCTGCTGAAATAGTTACTAAAGTATATAAACTCAGTATGAAATAATTTATACCCAGAAGAAAGAGGTGAGCTGTACGAAACAGCAGTATAAATGATGATAAAATATAATTGCAAGTTTAACATGCAGTGGAATGCTAAAAACAAAAACATTAATTTTTGTGTGTAGAAAAGAATGGAACTAAATTCCTGATAATTATAAGATGAAAGTTCAGAGAAGAAGTTCAGTGGATACGGTCGTTAAAACATGCCATGTGCTTTGCCATAAACAAGAAGATGGCAAAAATACTGAATAAGCATAAACATGGGAAGAAAAATCTATGGTGAAATGTGTTTATTAAAACTTTATTAATGGTTACCACTAAAAGAAGAGATTAAAACTCAAACCTTTCAAAACAATAGGAGAAAAAGAGGGACTAGAGGAAACTCTATCGGTCAAAAACAAAAGCAAATGAACAAAAAAGCAAAAAGAAAAGGAAGACTAGGGCGGTGGCCCTATATACTGGAGGTGGTGGGTTCAAACCCAGCCCCGGCCAAAAACTGCCAGGAAGACTAAATAAGTCCAAAAAAGGCCTGGTTAACAAAGGACGTAGCACAAATGTAGAGAAACAGGCTCGTTATATCAGAAATCACAATGAATGACAGTTATAAACACTGACCTATAAGATGATACACACTATCATATAGGTTTTAAAAACACAAGTAATACACCTAAATAAAATAAAACAGAAGTATTGGAAAGAAAGAGAAGGGAAGCTGTATAAGGAGATACTACCACGAACAAAGTGTTATCAGTATTCATATCAGAAAAACAAACCATAATGTGATTAAGCATTGACTGAAAACAAAGTAATATAAGACTGCAAATCCTTCACTTCTTAATTGTTTAACTACATTTTACTATCATCTATGTCCGTGTTTTTCAACCTTATCTTGCAACACATTTGAACCTATAAACTTCCACAGTACACTTAAATTATATTCATCAAAAAAAAGAGTAAAAAAAAAGACTATACTTTGAACTTCTTTTGAAAATAATTTAATTAAGGATCTTCAAAATTTTTCACAGCACATCTAAGATCCTCTTATGGCACAGCAGTGTGCCACGGCACACCTGTTGAAAGTCGCTGATCTCTGTTTTTGAGGTTGTTTACATTTAATGTATCTGTGGGGTGGAAGCTATTTATCATCTCCGTGTTCGGTGTTTGCTGGTAGCTTAAAATTAGCCATAGTTTGGAATGTTTACAAGTGCAACCAGTCAGAGTTTTTTCTCAAAGAAGTGGCTGATAAATATATACCAGCAAACTGTTATCTAAAAAGGGATATTACTTATCCAGTCCCTGCGAATGATGCTTTGAGGAGTATTCAGAATACAGAAGATGCTTATGCTTCAGTGCTAGGGAAAGATGGCAGGTGGTGGAACTGTATAAACAAAGCCACTGCACTTTGAAAAAGGATCCGCATTAGACAAAGGGAGAAAATAGAATAAGTAAGTGAGGTGATGGTTATGTTAATCAGTTAGATGCAAACATTCCATGTTGCATATCAAATCAGCACATTGTACCCCATAAATGCATTACTGTACACAGTTGCGATTTAATAAAGAAAAAGCAAAAAATTGTGTTAACAGTCCTGGAACTATGGGTGACTTTTTCATTTTAAACTGTGTATCTTTTGTGTTTTTCAAAATTAGTCTCAACTACCACATATTATTCTTCTCAAAAGAAACTTTATTCATCAGTTTTTTCTCAATACACAAATGCGGAGGTGGTGGAGGTAAACTGTAAATGTTATCTATCTTTCCATGGAGGCAACACAAATTCTGCTGAGATGAGTTATGATCACAGAAGTTAAGTATTAGATAATGTCTCGAAAGAGTCAGATGTGTGAAAATGTGTGAGGAGTTACTAAGAACATTAAACTAATACCTTAAGGTCCAGTGACATGATGGTCTTATGATAAGGTTTTACTCTGTTTTTAATGTTAGCCTCAGAAATTGAGACCCTGCTATGTTTTGTGCTTTTCATTCAGTATCTCAGTTATCACAACAAACATAAGGGGAGGTTTAAAAAGACTATTAATAGTCCCACTTACAGATTAGGTATGAAGACTCAGAATGGTCAAATGACTTGTCTAACCATCACAAAAGTAAGAGGTAATAGAGCTGGTCTTTAGGATTAAAGTAGCATTAAAGTTCCTGTCTCTTAGCTTTAAAATATACTGGTTCCAGACAGAGAGACATTACCGGTTCAGACATTACTGGTTACAGACAGAGAGCCGGGAAAAGGAGATTTACATCAATATCAGTTTCGAAAGGCAGAATGTACTTAAGTCCGCTTTGCCTATATTGTCAAATTATCCAGATCTGCTTTCAAATTTGTACTGACACCATCACATCGTTGCCTTTAATGACATTTGTTGACTCAGCAGACCATCCCTTGTTTACTTTCATTCTACTGCCCAGCTTTCATCTCAGCCGGAGCCTGTTTAAATTAGGGCACTGTTTCTTCTCTCCATCCAAGGATTACATGAATAACAAATCCGTGAAAGTGAACACAGCCCTTTCCTGTACCCGCAGAGTAACTTAACTCAAATGTTAGCTGCTTGATGAGAAGGACCTAATGTTGCCTTTATATTTTGCAGGCTCTGGCACATGGCCATCGACTTACTAACTTTTGATTATTTGCTAATTGGCATGACCAAATGATTGGGTACACAGAGAAACAAGCTGCGTCTGTTACTTTGGGTTCCGTAAACTTAGGGTTCAGACTTGGAAAATATTCGTATTTCTCTAACATTAGGAATACAGTGTTCTTGTTTTTTTCAGTATGAGAAAACACTGGTATTGGAAATTTTTCAAATCTTCCCAAGAGTACGTTCAGTATTGCTCACTATTTGGACAATCTTAGAAGCCAGAACATTTATTAAACTGAAGATGTAATAAAGTACAAGTTATTTCTTGTTATGATGTCTTTTTAACTTATAAGGTTCATTAATAATAATGCTTGGTAATCACTTATTAATGCTGTATCATTCATTCTTTGCAACAGAAAACATTCCTGATCCTTGCCTTCAGAAATGGCCCTGGGGCTGTACATGGTGGCTCGTGTTTGTAATCTCAGAACTTTGGGAAGTGGAGGTGGAAGAATTGTTTGAGCTCAGGAGTTTGAGATCATATCTCTACCAAAAAAAAAAAGAAAGAAAGAAAAATTAGCTGGGCATGGTGGCATGTTCCAGCTACTTGGGAGGCTGATGGAAGAGGATCATTTGAATCCAGGAATTTGATGTTGCAATGAGCTATGATCATGCCACTGCACTCTAGCTTGGGTAACAGAGCAAGACATGTCTAAAAGAAAAGAAAGGGAAAAGGAAAGGGAAGGGGAGGGGAGGGAAGGGAAGAGAAAGGAAAGGAAGGGAGGGGAAGGGAAAGAGAAGGGAAGGGAAAGGAAGGAACTAAACAAAGGCAGGTACAAGTTCTGCTCTGTTTACTAGAATTTCTGAAATTGGCTCTCCTGGGGGCATTCCTTTGGGTTAAAACATGGTCTCCTAGGGACTCATCTAAAACCTGCATATTACCCAGGAGTGCTCATTACATCACTCATTGACAACTCTTAGCATAGTACATAAACTTATTTGTCAAGCATCAGTGGATACTTCTTCATTTTATGATGAAACTGAGGCTCACAGAGCCTGTATGTTTTCCCTAAAGACACGTGGCAAGACACAGGAACTAGCAAAAGAAACTTGATCTCAACATTCTCTTTCAAGCTTTTAATGTCCTCTTTTCACTTTCCTTATTATCCAACCTATACCCCATGGCATGTTGCTATACAATACCAACTCCTTTCCTCTCTGGCTGCACTGACCCTGGAAAGCGTCAATCCTCCATTAATCCCACCACCTGTCCTCGCCACCCCTATGTTCGCATAGCCCTGCTGGGTAAAGTGGGACAACTGTTCAGGTCAGGTGCACTATAAAGAAAGCTGCAGTCCCCAGCCCCAGCTGGGTCCTCAGCATGGCCCACGGAGTCCTCTCATCTTCCTGAATGAAACCACTCTGGCAGGTCCCCCTTCTCATCCCTCACTTGTCACTCTTTCTCGATGACCTCAAGTCCTATTTCACTGACAAGTTGTCTACTTCACCTTCGGAAATAAGGAAGCAGTTGAAAAAATCTTGACACTCCTCCTCTTTTTTCCTGTTCTTCAGGGTCAACAATATTTAAAGCACCCGTGTTTCTCTGAATATGCGATGAGTAATGCTTTCAATGCATGTCAATACGAAACGTTCATCCAGGACTTGGTGTCCTGGAGTTTATGACAGCTGTGCTGGTACTGACTTAGTCACCTGTCAAATCTGTGAATCCTGTCCCCACATACAAACAGCTTAAAGGAGGAGGTTATTCAAATGTATCTGAAGATAAATCACTTAGACTCAAAAACTTCGAGATGTGGGAGTCAATGGGATAATTTGAAAGTGGGGTTTTGACAGGAGTTCTTTGTGCATATTCAACAAATCTAGTGCTGCTTACAAGAACTGCTATACTCCCGCAGGACTTAACATCTGATCGTACATGTAATACTCTGATAGAACGTTAAATGTTACTGACGTTTGTGTTTAAGGCAGTTATTCAATGAAATGTTGGTGACTTACATATGTAACAGTTTGTAAAATTCTCCTGTTTGGGGTTATGAATTTGAATTCCTCACTGAAAGGATCCCTAGCTGAAATGATTCAGAACGCCAATGACTTTCCCCCTTAGCTTTGAGCATCAGGAGTCTTAATGAAATGAAAACCGAAACAATAAGCTATTAATTCTACGAAGTCGTGTATTAAATTTATTGAGGAAATGGTGTTCAGGGAAGATGAAAAGAATGCCCTGAATACTCTTACATTATTTTAAATATCTCAGATTATTTTGTTGTACATTATTGTGGCAGGATCCTTGGTTCACTCCTGATGAAGGACTTAGGAAAATGTATGTCAGCTAAAAAACTCTTTTTGTTAATTACCTTCTGCCACGAATGGAGAAAACAACCATGAGCTAGTTGGGTGGAACATTTTCCTCAGTTGGAATAGGATTAAAATAAAATACTATTCTATAAAATACTATAGGATCATTCTTTTTTAACAGTATAATCCTCACATTTCAAAACTTAAAATTTTCAGGACAATATTTTCATGATCTCATTTATTCTCAGAACCCGTGTGTGTAGTGAATGAAGGTTTGCACTCCTAGGCCTGGTGTTTTGGGCTAAGGGTGATGTCAAACTCATAAAGATTTAGATTTTTATAATAAAACCAGTAGACAAAAAAGTAGTTTTAATTTTGGATTGTAAAACCCAGTTGTAGCAGCAAATAAATTATAAGAAATAAAGTTAGATGAACAATCAGATTAGTTTATTTAAAAGACAAGATATTTGGATTTGTTACTTCCACGCCAGTATAGTCTGAAGTTTCTAAAATAGAGATAGCGTGCATTTGAATTAAAGGCATTGTCTATTAAGTTTGGAAACTGAAATGTTTTTTAAGAAATCATTTATTTTTCACGCTCGTATAAATTAATATGTATGTATTTACATAAATATACATATAAAACAAAATTGTCTAGTGTTGAGTAGCTATTTGAAAAATGGCGAACGGTGAAAAATGGCCATAAATAGCTTAATTTCGTACTTAACAGTTCAATCATTTGGGGGGACAAACAAAAAGTCAGTGCATTTATAGACTCCATAGAGTCAGATACTCAAGCACCACTTTTAAAAAGACCCTCTCCAATATCACAGGCATTGTACATCAAGAATACATGTGCTCTAATGCCATTCAACTCCATAAGCAGACTGGACAGTACTTGGCTTTTAAAATAGCTTGGTGAAATAATTTTTTTTTCAGGAATATAAATTAAGGCCTCTTCCGATGGAGAGGTTTTAGAGTTTTGTGTGTGTGTGCACTAAATTCTGATGTGAACCATCAAAATCAATGGCCCTCCTCCTTAGGAGACTGGATTTTAGTAAATTTAAGTATTTAAGCTGGTCATTTTTATGTAACTGCATGGTTTAGAATAACACAAGACTTAGGAGAATCCATAAGTCCAAACATGTAGGTGCTGCCTTGCCGGACATCCGTTGTTTGTTCAGGAAGTATTAAAATAATATGAAGCCAAGGTTAAGTCTTTTTGGCTATTCTTAGCTGTTTGAAAAGATCTAGATTCTCTTTTATCTGAAAATACCTTACAGTATTAGTTGGACGTTGAACATTTAAATACATTTAAAGATACCACTCCGCTCAAGTAAAATGGAAAAAGAAGCCCCCAAATAAACAATCTAGGAAGTAAGATCGTTTGGGAAGAAAACTATGTATATCTCATTTGCCTGTGACCCTTGAACTTGTAGCTGGAGAATTTTTAGTGAACCCCCAAATCTAAAAATATATTTCTGATCTGCATAAAGACATTACTTTCACTCATTTCAATAATAAAAACTGTGTAAGTGCTTTGATAAAGTAACATAAAAAGAAAATAGCTCATTGGAATGTGTCCTGAACCACAGAACTGCTTTTACTCTCTTGTAATGCAGTTCGTTTGAAAACTCTTTGCTCAAATTGATACCATTCAACCTGTTTCTCTCGTGTCTTTTTTATCTTTAAAAAAGATTTCAACGAAGCCCTCAGTCACTTTGCGAATCACATTATTCTCTCGTCTTCCTGGTTTGCAAATACTACTAGCCTGGGTTTCGTAACACACTGGCCAGAAACCCTGTCACCGTGGACATTCTTGCTACTGCAACAGGTGTTTGTCAGTTTCTTAAGTTGCTTTCCTTTCCCCTGAGGTGGTGTTATTTCCGGTACATTCCAAAGGCTCTGAAAAAAACTTTTGCAGTCCCTTGCCAAGCCAAACCATGACTCCAGCCCCTCAAGTTACTGAGAACCCTGCGTCATGAGGGTTTTAGTACACATATTAGGCAAGTGATGTGCGTGTTTCTGTATTTCTGACTTTTAGCGACTGAAATTTTTATCAAGAGATTGGTAAAACTGAAAGTGAAATCGGAAAGGATTTTTGTTCAGAAGCAAACAGTCTGGATGTCTGGGAGTGGGGTTGATTATATTCCTGGCAAACTTGATTTGAAAAGGTCTTCACTGTTCCTGTAGGCCACCCTGAAATTTGACAGATGCAGAAACAAAACAGGCCTTGATAACTCGCAGTCTACGGGCTAACCTTTCCTGTAGGAGCGAGGGCTCGGAGTCACTGGGTGGCTAAAGGTTTTAGTGCAGAACTTAGAAGGGGAGTATCAGCAGACAGACCAGCAGCTAATTGCTCAAGTATACAGTTTCCTCGCGGCCCACATGTTCCACTCCTCCTTCGCTCAGTAAAACCCCAAGCCCCCCATGCTATCAGCCCTGACGGTAGCACACGCTCACTTTAGAACCGCGACAAGAAGACGACAAGATGGTTCAGACCAACCTTTTGGAAGTTTCTCGGTCCTGCTGAAGGCAACCAGAGTAAGGATCTGTACCAGTGGAATGTTGACGAGCTCTCTCATGGTTAACCCAGGCTCACGCAGGAGAAAGTTCCTTCTGGACAACGCGAGGAAAATGCCTCCGCCGTTTACATTTTAAAGCATCGTTTCTTACAGAGGGTCATCTGCTAAGGACTGTGAGTGTCAGCAGCTCCCAGCCTCTAAGTAGAATCAGGAATTTTCAGACTTGGCTGTGATGATGGACACAGCCAGCTGGTGAGTATCCACTTAGCCAGTAAGGCAAGTGTAGCGCTGGCGGAACAAGGGAAAGAAAATCCCTTTAGAATCCCTTTTAAGACGGTGGCAGCAGGACAATCCCAGATGCCTTCTGCACCCATCGCTGTATTCCCTGAGGTACAGATTTCCCCACCTTCTGTTTCAGCACACACACACCCCCATTCAAACCAGAAACCTAGTCTCTCTAATCTCCACTCCTCCCCATCTCTTACCCCACCCCCCATTCAACCCACTCCAATTCCTACAGATTTTACCAACTAAATTCCCTTTTTAAATTCAAACTAGCACCTTGCTCTTCTCATCTCCTCAGACACTCTTCTCTGAATGTCAGTCTTAGCCTCCTCGGCCTTTTCCTGTCTCCTGTCTTACCTTATCCCAAACCCTTTTCAGATACTGCCCCGCCCCCCCACACACACAGACATTCAAAGCCTCCCAATGGCTCCTCATCATATAAAAATGTATTCAGATCTTCCTAATATGGCATCTGGGGCCTTACTGGAATCTGTCTGCCTTGTTAGCCTCATCTTTTACAAGCCATGTTTCTTATTCAACAACCTGCTCACAGTTCCCTGGGTAAGGCTGGAGGGGTTTTTTCAGGAATGACTCATACTGTGCTCTCCCCTCAGAATAGTATTCCCAGCCTCTCCACCCAGTTCAAACCTATCTCAGCTTAGTAGTGATCTCCTTCTGGAAGCCTCCCCAGAACAAAAATTCCACATTGTCCCAACGTTGCATCAGGTTTGTCTCCTCTGGGCTTCCATAGTACACCCTGCACATCTCTGCCCTCTCTGTACTTACTGCATCATTTTAAGATTTTTTTCCCCCTTGTGTTGGTGTCTCCATCATTCTTTCACCTTGTAAGTCCATTTATAGAAGTTTAGCTCTTCTGTGTGAATTTTACTGTTCATTTTGATAGCAAAAATTAGAAATGGAAATATCTAAAAATGAGGACAGATTATATTACCTTAGATCTAGAGAAGCAAATAATAAAAATATTTAAAGCGATGTTGTAGAAAAATATATACTAGCCTGGAAAGAGGTTCACAGAAAGGAGTCAACTGAAAAAAAAAACCAACCCATGTAATTATTTGTAGGTAAGGAAGCAAAATGTGTTTTGAATTTTTTTTATGAAATCCTATTAAAATAACAAAAAGAAGATTTTTCTTCTTAAGTCATAAATACACAAAGACAAAAATAACAGGTGAGGAAATCTCTGTAATAAGAAAAGAAAGTTAATTTTTGGATCTCCTGGACCCAAGAATACACTCTACCAGTGTGGTCCTGTAGACCGCTTTTCTTGGATTGTTACAGGGAGGAAGAATATAGCCCTGTTCCAAAGCTTCGCTAACTTTGCCTGGAAGGCAGTCATCTTCTCATACTGATGACAGAATACCTGAGTCTATGACCTCCTCCTGCTCTTACATATAAGATCTTACATATAAGAATTGGACACATTGGATCTTCAGTGGGAAGGGAAGCAATTAATTAATGCATGGATAGCATAGTGATCATAGTGATGATGACAAAACTACAGCCCTCCCCCTCCACTCGTAGAAGCAGAAAGTAGAGAGATGGTCACCAAAGACTGAGGGTTTGTGGGGGATGGGAAAGAGGAGAAGCTGATTAAAGGAGGGTACAAATTTCTAGTCAGACAAGAAGAGTAATTTTTTTGTGATCCATTGTACCACATGGTGGCGACAATTAATAATGATGTATTGCATAATTTTTAACTTGTCAAAAGAGTAGATGTTTAACATTATCCCCACACACATGAAAAATAAGTTGACATGTGAAAAATAAGTTGGCAAAGTGATGAGTAGGCTTGATTAAATCATTCTACCATATATACATAAATCAAAATATTCCATCATATCCCATAAATGTGAATATGTGCAATTATCATTTGTCTATAAATAAATAAATAGTATGAGATGAGGAAATGGAGACTGTGTGCAGATACTATTATCTCAAGAAGAGTGGTGTTGAAGAGGAGGGGAATATTCAGTCATGCTGCAGGAATAAGTTGGTTGGAGACAGAAATTTTAAAAATGTATTTTGGGGGTATGGTGTGCAGGATCCTGTGAAGATAAAGAGGTTAAAGACAGAGGAGAGAGAATAGGTGGTTTAAAGGTTTCAGGGAAAGCAGGAGCAGCTAGGATCTTGAGCACAGTGTCTCGTGATGCAAGATGCTGAGGATGGAATGAGTAGGAAAATTTGCAGGCAGGATGACAAGATGTATACTGAGTCTTCACTTGATGACTTCTATTGCCTCTGTAAAGTACAAGATGAGGTCTAAGAAGTTTTAAAATAGCCCTTCCAGCGAGTGAAAGAGCACACAGTTGAGGCTGTTGGCTATAAAGTTATACTGACGCTTATATTTCTTGGCGTGATATTTTATTGCACCAGCACTTTCAGGTTTCCCAAAGATAGATGTTGAAAGGTTTGTTGGGGAGGGGGGTGGTTGGAGAAGGAAAGGGTATTTGTAAGTGGTATATTAGTCTAAGCAAAGTGGATATATTAAGAACAGAAATAGTCAATAAGCAAGTGAGGACACTGACAGGAAGAAGAAGGTAGAGAATTGGACAATGGGGTCACGAACTATGAAGGGAATGGTTTAGAGATGTGTGTGAGTTTAAGCCAGTTTAAGAGATAACACTGAGAACACAGCTCATGCTCAGGGGCCACTTTGCTTGAATGTAGCTGAGCACAGTTCTCAGAGTGGAGCCCAGATCTGAGGCCATTGTTATTGTACCTGGAGGACAATGAGTCTGTAATAGTGTGAATGGAGAGGAGAGGATGAATTTAAGATAAATATGAGAAGAAGCAGCAGAAGAATTTGGCCATAAAGTCAAGACAAATGCTGGATTTCCAACTTAAAACTGAAGTGGAGCATTTAATTATGTTAGCAGGAACTTCCAAAAGGGAAAGTTGCCTTTACTTTACTGAATTGGATCAATGTATATCTTATATATCTTGGGTTGTCACCAGGGTGTCAGAGGGAAATAGATGGTCCACTACAGTAGAATTAGGGGAGACACACAAAGGCACAGGGTTTAGAAAACACAAAAATTAGTATAGAACTTATTAGCCAGAAACAGTTGCTCTCTACTATCCCTAGATTTGCTGGTGGAAACTGGTGACAGAGACAACTGTGAGAAGAGAGCTTCCTACTAGAAGTTAAGACCTTGGATTGAGGAATTCAGTCCCTGAGGGTGCCTTTGGTTTCTGGCAGGTTCTCACCATTGGCCAAACACAACAGGCAACTAGAGGATAAGACATCCCGTTAAGTTCGTAGAGGTCAGTTTCCATAGGAACAGAGCAGAAGGAGGAGGAGGAGGATCGATCTGGAGGATGAAGAAGGTCACCTCCGCTGGCCTCTTTAGGGAGCCCAGCCCTTCCTGGAGCACCAATGAGACATCAGATGACAAAGGCAGGTTACAGAGCAATCCTGAGCAAAAGGAACAAAGCTGAAGGCAGAGTTCAAAATGTGTGAGAAAGGCATAGTAATCAAAACAGCATGGCACTAGCATAAAAACAGAACAATAGACCAACGGAATAGAAGAGAGAACCTACAAATTAATCCATGCATCTACGGGTATCGTATTTTGACAAAGACATCAGTCATATTCATTGTGAAAAGGATATGAGATATCCATGTATGGAACTCAATCCCTACCTCTTACTCTCTACCAAAATTAACTCAAAATGGAGCAAAGACCCAAAACTATGAAAGTAATAGGATAAAACCTAGAAGAAATGCTTCAGGACATTGGTCTGAGAAAAAATTTTATGAATTAGACCTCAAAAACACAACAAAGCAAAAATAAACAATGATATTATATTGAAAATATTCTACATAGCAAATTAAACAATCAACAAAGAGAAAAACCAATCTACAGAATGGAAGAAAATAATATCAATTTTTTCATCTGACAGGGGATTAATATCCTGAATATTAAAGGAACTCCAACATCTCAACTACAAAAAGAAGAAAGCCAAAAGTCCAACTAAAAAAATAGCACATGATCTGAACAAATATTTCTCAAAGAAAGAGATACAAATAACCAAAAGTCTATACAAAAATGCCCAACCTCACCAATCACAGGGGACATGCAAATCAAAAACTAATAAGCAATATCATCTTGCCTCAGTTAGAACGGCTATTATCAGAAAGACAAAATGACAAATCTTGGCAAGGATGCCGAGTAAAGAGAACTGCAAGTGGGAATGTAAACTAGCACAGGAACTGTGCTGAACAATGTGGAGGTTCCTTTAAAAACTACAGCTAGAACTTCCATGTGATGATCCAGCAATCTCACTGTTGAGCATTTATAAAAAGGAAAAGGAATATGCATAGTGAAGAGACAGCTGCACCCCTGTGTTTATTCACAATAGCCAAGATACAGAATCTACCTAGATGTCCAACAGATGAATGGTTAAAGAAAATGTGTGATATATGCACAATAGAATTCCTTTAGGCCATAAAAAGAGTGAGATCTGTCATTCACAGAGACATGGATGTAACTAGAGAACATAATGTTAAGGGAAATGAACTATGAACAGAAAAAAAAAACCATATATTCTCTAACTCCTATGTGGAAGTAAAAAAAAAATTTTTTTTTGTTCTTTAAGTGTTTTCCAGATGTCTCCTCTATTAGGTATATATCCAGAAGACCAAAAATCACACTACAATAAAGATATTTGTATCAGAATGTTCATTGCAGCCCAATTCATAACTGCTAAGTCGTGGAAGAAGCCTGAGAGCCATCGATCCATGAATGGATCAATAAATTGTGGTATATGTATACCATGGACTACTATGCAGCCATTAAGAAAGATGGAGACTTTACATCCTTCATGTTCACATGGATGG